ACTACGTGGCGCGCGGGCGACGAGCATTCTTCGACATGCGGGGGATGGGAAGATAACAACTCCGGAGGCCCCCCTCAAGCACCCACGGTACTACCCGCGCCCCACTAGAGCGCCACCTGCCCCTCCGGCGGCCGGGACCCACCGGGCGAGCGTAGATATTAATTGCAGGCGATTACGAAGGCGGGCCGCGTCGCGTACCGGTACGGATCCGTTATTTCGGAAACGTCGGTCGTATCAGGGGCCGTTGGAAAGCGTCACGGCATGGTCCACTGCCGATGGCCGTTACGTTCGTCGGTCGTCAACCATTTCGGCTGCGGTAAACCTCGATCCTTTCACACGACGGGTTCGGCTGTCCCATGCAATCGGTGTCGATCGGTCACGTCGACCCGGTTCGACCGGGTCCAATCCGTTGAGGATTCGAGAATTAAGAACTGCATACGTGTCGGAACTAACTCGGGCTCGGTCGGTTCGGCTGCATTAAACCTCGATCCTTTCACGCGACGGGTATGGCTTGCCCATGCAATTGGCGTCGGTGGGTCACATCGACTCGGTTCGACCCGGTCCAATCCATTGAAATTTCGAGAACTAAGAAATGTGTACCCGTCGGATCTGACTCGGTTCGGTCGAAATCTTGCAGTAGAATTAATCTAAATCGATGCCAAGAGACTGATACATCGCATGTGACCGAAAAAGTCGAGTGTGATATGGACGTCGCAACACACTGGAAACTTCGTCGAGGTCGGAAGGAGTCACATCGCTTACACCATGAATGTGTGTGTGTGTGTGTGTGTCTCTCTCTCTCTCTCTCTCTCTCTCTATATATATATATATATATATATATATTACAAAAAAGGGCATGTGAATGGTGTATATAATTAAAAGATGCATATGTTAATCCACAAGGAATTAATCAAAATTTAACTCATTTAATTAATATGATTAAAGATTAAATCCAAACCCTATATGGTTGTATTAGTTGAAGTTTCTATGAGACTTAAGAATTCAATTATGACAGTGTTAAGTATAGATTACTTCATGTAATTAACTACTTTTAGGATATGTATACTTACGAAGCGAAATATTAAGATCCCTATATAGGATTAAAAAAATAATTTTATAAGGTTAAAAAATCAAGAGAGAAATTTTGTTGGAGTAAAGGGGTTAAATATTTTATTTTCTAACTACATGCATATTAATGTAACTTTTGAAAATATAAAAATTAAAATACTAAAAATAATTAATTGAGAGGATAATATCTAATTAACCAGTTATAATATGATTTGATTTATCATAAGACAATCACATTAGTCCAAAATGCTTAACATGAATGTCCAATTTAATAACTAATCATGTAAATCTGGGTAAAAGAAATTTGTGTCAAACTCCTGAATCCAAACCCAACTCATTATATAATCAGGTTAATCATGTCTATCAATTCATGATCCAACTGACTCATGTTGGGTCCATAATCTGATAAAAACAATGACTCTATTTTCATTGAGACTAACAAAAGAGCTTGATGGAAGTGAATGAATGTGGATCTGGTTGTAGAAGCTCATTGGATCAAGCATGAAGTTGATCATCATGTAGAAAGGAGGGGATGAATGAAGAAGGAAAGAGATGCCGAGCATCACTGATCTCAGAAACTTACAAATGCAACTTAATCATCATAAATTATTAGAAGTTAATTTGGAGGTTGGAAGATGTCACATCATTCATATTATCTTATGTGTAAATGAACAAAGAACTAAGGAGTTAACTGAGTTTTCTAGCCAAGCCTTCTTATTGCCATCATCTACTTGTCTCCTAGTCCAGCTTTCTCCCAAAGATGAACATCAAAGAAGAAGAAGAAGAAGAAGAATCAGGTTTGAGAAATCAATTATTTATAGTATTTCATGCATTCTTTGTAGTAGCTGCAGCCTCTAGCTGATGGTGAGTGAGATTGGAACTACATTTGATCACCTTACCAGTATGATAAGATAGCAATTTATTTCTATGATTAATTATCATGATTTTTACTGATCTACTAATTTCAATTCATAGGTCCACAAGAACAGTATAAATGGGTGGCAATCATCTCTTCTAAGCTGTAACTTGGAAATGTTTTACTCTGCAGTGTGATGGCCAAGAATCCAGAAGGCATAATTCTGGTCAAATGTGCTCTGAACTTTTGTAATGCAAGTTGAGGTGTCTCTTTCCTGAATTCATTATCTATACTATTAATAATACTTTTAGCTGACTGAAGAACATGTAATCATGAAAGAATTCAACAATTTGTCTGTGAAGGCCACATCACCTACATAATTAATCTCCATTCCTTTGTAACTTCTTTTTATTTTCAGGCATATACTATTTGCTAAGTTTGTCATACATATTGATACCAAAATATATCATAATAAGATAGTGCTTTGATCAGAATCATGCTAGTGATGGCTTCCCAGAACCTAGCACAATTGTTTAGTAATATGTTTGAATCAAGAGTCTAGTCTTTGATGTTTTCAAGTGTGGGGTTGTTCATAATGTCAATGTTCTTAAGCTTTAAGAATTCCATGCAGTAGGTCAAAGAAAGCAGTATCCTACAAATACAAACCAATAGTCTCCACACATCCAAGTACACCACATGGTTGAAGATATGAAGTGCATACATGTTTTGATCAGCAACTTGATGAGAAAGGTATGAAAATAAATCCTTACAGGTGCAGAAACCATCTGAAAATAGAGAGAGAGAGAGAGAGAGAGAGAGAGAGAGAGAGAGA